AACAAAAATTTTCTTTGCAATTTCAAGAAGATCTAAAACATGCCAAGTAACGAATGTGAACACAATTGCAAGAAAGTAAAAATTAATCATAAAGAAAAATTAGAACTACATATATGCAGGAAAATAAAAAAAACTCTGAACAGCCAATGGTAGGAGAATGAAAGTTAAGTGGAAATTAGAGGGGGAAAAATGAGACAAATAAAAAAGGAAACACATCTTTCTAAAACACGTGACATGCTGCAGAGTTAAGAGAAATTTCACAGCACTGAAGGCCTACGTCAAGGCCTGGCAGCCAAAACCCTCCAGAATTCAACCACTGCCATGGTCACGGCTGCTCTTCACATGTTCAGGCAGAGTCTCACCCATGACTGAACCTATTCCTTGACCCTGCGCCTGCATTTCATACCTGACACAACCCAACTTCCAAGGGTGTCACACCACATTTGATGAAGGCAACCAATTCTCGAGGGAAATATATCTTTATATATATATATATATACATATACATACATACATATATATATATGTATATCACTGTTACTGTCCTCCCACTGTTCAAGGATTTGCTCCAGCAGCCCAGTAACGTCTCCATTTTGTGACTTGTTGTTACTTTCTTTGGCATATCGAAGAAATCACGGGTAGCTTGCCAGGCTTTGCCTTGCGGGCGAGATACTCTCAGTAGCTTGCAGGGTCTTTGAGAGGGACGAAGGAATTGAACTCGGGTCGGCCGCATGCAAGGCAAACGCCCTAGGGCTGTGCTATCGCTCCAGCCCAATATCTATGCACAAAGGAATGAACCTTTAACAACATGCTCATAATCTCTTATAGAAGGGTTTAGTGGTTAATGCATGAAATACAACAATCTTCACACACTTTTCTCTAAAGAAACATTTTGGAGCATTTTTAGCATTTTATTCATAACAAATAATGCAAAATAAATTATTTTCATTCTGCTACAGGGCAGGGGTTGGGGTTTGGGATGAAAACATCCGAAATACGGTAGTGGGAATGTGTAATGGTGTTGGGATTGGCGATGAAATATAAAATGTAATCAAATATTGTGAACTACTATATAAAAATAAAATTAAAACTGAGAAATAAGAAAATTCTCAAATGAAAGGAAAAATTAGCCAATTCACCACTTAGTTCTGGAAGAATAAACAAAATTGACAAGAAAAAAATATCCAAAGATGAATAGCCTAAGTTGGAGTGCGGGCAGGATACTCTCAGTAGATTACCGGACTCTCTGAATTATATAAATATAATACATATTTATATAATATATAAATGTAATATATGTAATATTTATATATTTACTTGTGGGCTGGAGCGATAGCACAGCGGTAGGGTGTTTGCCTTGCAGGCAGCCAACATGGCCGACCCGAGTTCTATTCCTCCACCCCTCTCAGAGAGCCTGGCAAGCTACCGAGAGTATCTCGCCTGAATGGCAGAGCCTGGCAAGTTACCCGGGATGTATTCGATATGCCAAACACAGTAACAACAAAGTGTCCAATGGAGACGTTACTGGGCCCGCTCGAGCAAATCGATGATCAACGGGAGGGCCTTTACTTACTTTACTTATCATTTGTTGCCTACTGTCTGAAACCCATCAAATATGGTGTGGTAATGATGGATAGGGATGTGGCCAGGAATATGTTCACTCGTATGTGAGGCTCGGCCCAAGTGTGTGGAAAGCAGCATGGAGTGTGGCGGCAGTTGAGTAGTGGAGCAAGAATATAGGTTCCAAAAGACCTAGTGATTTCACATTTGCATGTTCCCACCAAAACCCCTTAATAGAAAAATCAAAATGATATATGCACTCCTATATTCACTGCCATGCTAAGTACAATACTCAGGAAAACCCCAAATGGACACATAAACAGATAAAGTTGTAGTATAAACATGCACAACAGAACACTACTCAGCTACAAGAAAAGGTAAAATCTTGCAGACTCCTGCAAATTGGGTGGATGGAGGGCATCCTGACAAGCAAAAGAATTCAGAGAAAGGACAAATCTTGTAGGATCTCAGCGTGCTATATAAACAAAGGAAAGTAATTAAAAACTCCTGAATGAAAAGATGTCTTGACTTTTGATTACAAAGCAAAACCTCAGTCAAGGAAGAAGCAGACTGAAGGTGATGTGAGGACAATGGTGGGGAAAGGCACCCAGGTGGAGAGTTCCTGATGACAACATATATGACCTTAGTTGTGCGATGCACATATAACATGCAGAAAACCACATCCCATGACCACTACACATGTGCCTAACTTTGCAAACACATCAACACTGGACCTTCACAACTCAGGGTGAAGAACACCCCTCATTCTGTGCCCTGGGAAAGAATCCATAAGAGCTTCCATGACTCGCTACTCCTAGGAGAGATTGGACACACTCAATAAGCTGCTGCCTTGTCTGCCCAGTACACCATCCTCCTTCACTCTGTAATTTCTTAAGATTCTTTCCAATTGCTCTTTGCTCTCCCCTTTCTAAAGCAGATATTTCTCATCCTAACAAATTCTTCGTGGGATGAAGGAAACTGAATTAGTGTAACCATGACACCAGAATCACCACTACCACCACCACAGGTTCCTCATATTTAATGGGTCATCAAGCTCAGCTTGCTCTGCTGGGCCCAAAATTTCACTAGATGATTCCTGAAGTAAACAATCTGAAATCCCTGTCTCTGTCATCTGGCCATCCTACTGCTTTCTTGGAACTGGTAATCACCATGGTTAAACTCAAAGAGATCTGGGATTGCAGCATTACACCCATGTACTTGTGAGCTGACAATGGCTGGACACCTCTACCTGGTCTCTATAAATGAAGTGTCTTGTCCTAAAATACTACAGATGATGAACACACATTTAAGAGGTTTTTAAGGCATTACAATATACAAAAACATAGTTTCACTGTCCGTTTTGTAAGCTCAACTGAACCTTACATATGTCTGTCGATATTTGCTTAATTCTTGCATCTTCTGCCAACCAGGCTACCAATTGCACAACAATTGGATGTCAGATTATGATTGTTTCAATATTTTAAGTCAAGAAAACTGTTTCATTTATTGACGAGGGAATAGAGATGGAACCTAATTGTTGGTTTCTAAAACGTTTTGGGAAACAAAGGTGAAGCTTTTCTATGTATGTATTTTCTATGTATGTCAGAGCTTCCCATTTTCCCCATTTAGGAGTGACCTGATTTTTTCATGTTCAAGGGCTAAAGTTTTCAATAAGGAAAAACTTTGTGTTTGCTTTTGCATCCTACACAAAAGGTCCACATGGTATTAGGGCTTTGTTTGCTCCTGCTGTTTTATTGCTGTTGTATTTTGGGATTCTTTTCTTTTGGTTTGAAGCCACACTGGCTGTGCTGAGGAATTCCTTTGCACTCAGGAATTACTCTGGCGGTACTCAGGGTACCATCTGGGATGAAGAGGATGGAAGCCAGGTTGGCCATATGCAAGGCAATGGCCCTCCCCCGCTGCACATTCGCTCCGACCCCAAGTAGCAGTCTGAATGGTCCCAGGAGTCCTTTACCACCCTAGCTCTCAGCGTCCAGATCCGGAACCGATCGGGCGCAGGTGTGCGGCGCTGCCAGAGCCTGGAGGAGACGCGCCCCCAGAAGGCTGGAAAGTGCCACATACCCCTCTGTTGAGCCTGACATAGGCATGGGTGCGACTATCCCAAAGAGGAGTCATTACACCCATAGCTTGTAGGACGTTGGCAGTTGCAGACCCCGCGAGAGATGCAGGTGCGCATGCGTGTCCGTTACCTCTAACTGTTTAGAACTGAGCCAGGACAGCCCCAATGCGCGCGCACCTACAGGCTGCAGTGGTGCAAATGTCGGCCAGTCATGCACGAGATTGGTGGCTTTTCAGGCATAATAAGGATTCAATTAGGGACTGCAGAAGTTCATGCTGTGTGGATGGAGTCTCCTGAACAAGAGAGAAGCCGTTTGACCAATATAAAGAAATCAATACACATGCCAGCTGGTAGAAAGTACATGTACTTTTAACCAGAGTGGAAATCAGTTATGAGTTCATAAAAATGAGATCCTTAGGGGTTTCAGTTCATAGTACATGTCTAGAAATATGTTAACAACAGAAAACCAGTTTGGTGTGGGAGAGAGCATTGTATTACAAAGCGAAGTTGAAGGGAACACCCAGCCATGCATTAAAAACACAACATTGAGCCTCTGGCAAAACTGAGCTTTGAACCACTAAAGATATTCCTCAGTTCAACATTATATTTAGGAGGCAAATCATCCATAAAATGTATTGCAAATGCAAAGAAGTAAGTTGGAGATTCGTAGCTGTTTTAACATGAAACTTCATGGCTATTCCAGGAAGGATAAGAGCTTCCAGTAGAAAGAAACTTTGAAAAAGCTAGTCAAACATGTTAGACAAATCTACATTACTTTCAGTCCTAGGGATTGGACCCTAATGAAGGATCAGCAAAACAAACAAACAACAAAGCAAAACCCACTGCATTTGCTTGGGAAAACTCCTTTTAATTTTTGACCTCCATGGGTTCACAAGTCACAAATGACTGAATATTGCAAAGAAAGCGTAGACTCTGTTGAAGGAGGTCCACAGGAAGAGAGGAAGGAGAGAGATTTGAGGGGCACACAACTAGACTGGTGGATAAAGTATTGAGATACAGCGAAGACCAAGCCAACCTGTGTGCTGGGAAACTTTGTCTAAGCGGCTGGAAGAGGCCATGTGAGCTGCTCTGCCATTGAGCAGTTTGAAGGAAAGTTCTGGTTCTGGCCGTCCAATCAGAGCCCTTCATGGAATGTTTCCCCAGCCAGGCCCTCCTGGCCCTCACCTCCCCCACTGCAGAATGTCTTGAGCCCAAGATTCTGAGGTTTGAATTCAAACTTCACCCTCACCCACTCGGATCCTGAGCGTCTGTGTGAGCAGTTCACTCTCTGATCCTAGTCCTGAGTTTTGCTGTTGTGAAGGCTGATAAACTGCAGTAGCCTCTGGCCTCGTCTATGGCGATGGCGTCAGGAGGAGGTAAGCCTGTGAGGGTGTCTGTGTATGTGATAAAGTCTCTGTCACACTGAAATCATTTGGGTTCATAGTTACCCTGACTGGGAACACCATGTTTTGAGTGGGTGAACGAGGAGAAAGACCTGGGCTCCATAGATAGCTCACCTGTACAGCAAAGGGAGCCCAGGAGAACCTGAGGGGTCTGGGAGGGCATCCTTGGAGTTGTGTCAAATTACCTGGGGAAAGGTCATTGGTATGGACAGAGGGAGGCAGCTGGCATATGGCTGCTTTATATGTGAGTGTCCTGCTGGTGGATGGAGGAACAGGGCCATTTGTCATGTGTCTGGAGGGACTGTTTTGTGGTGGCACAGGAAAGACCCAGGCATGCTGAGTCCATTTCTCCTCCTGTGCTCTAGAATAAGTTTAGAAGTAATTAGACTTGCGCTGAGCTCAACCTGAGGTGGACAGCTCAGCACAGATGGTTCAGCCTGAACCTTGTTGAGTGAGGCTGTCTGTGTGTAATTTTGCCATGATGAGTCCTCCACAGAGCTGGGCTGCAAGTGACTAACTGCCACAGTCAGAGCCTGACACTTCTGCAGACTTAAACTCTCTGCTGGCTGAGCCCAGCAGCTTCCTTGGGTCAGCAGGTTGGGAGACATGTGACTTCAGCGTAGTTACGACTCAGCTTCCTGAGTTGTTCTGGATTGTTCTCCTTTTGGTGAAGTTTGTTCTTCCATGGTCTGGCATCTCATGGTGCAGCCCCAGCAAGCATTTCGGCTCTGAGGTGAAGATTGATTGAGAATTGGATACTTCCCTCACAGACAAGGAATAAATGGATGTGTGAGTCTATGTGTGAGTTTGTGAGAATGAGTGTGTGTTTCTGTGTGTGTGTGTGTGTGTGTGTGATATGTGGGGTTTTCCTGAGAAAAGTCTGTGAATGTCTGTTCCTTGAGGAGAGGTGGAGTGTACTGAGGCAGAAAGAGCATCGTCAGAGCAGTTGGAGACATCAGGGCCTCTGTCCTGAGCATGATGCACACAGGCTCTGGGTCGTCTCTAGTGCGAGTCTCTGTGTGAATTCCACCTGAGTAATGATAGTGGCAGACAATTTTCTTTCCTGGCACCTGGTTTGTGCCTGATGTTAATTATCCTGTATCTGTCTCTGGGATAAAGTCTTAGATTATTTAGAAGATGTTACCAATTTTCAATCTAACATGATCAGCAGCTCCAGAACTCTGGAAACATCCCCAAGTGTCTGACTGGTGAAATCTCTGGCCATTTCCACACCTGCTGCCATCCCTGATGGAACTCTCCCAGAACACAAGAACCCTAGCCTTAGGATCTCCACGAAGTACAACCCAGCTGGAGGGGAGGGATGGCCTGTGCCCGGGACTCAGGGCTGAGACAGGGCACACCACCTCATTCCTTTCAAAGGGCCTGATCTAGAGATGGTTGGGCCAGTGAGGCCCCCCACACCGTCTCCCTCTCACTCCCCTCCCTCCTCTCCACAGTGTCTCCTGTGCTGCTCCCAGAGATGACCATGAACCTTGGGGTCTCTGGCTCTGCTTTCCGGGTCTTGCCCTTTCTCAATCCAGGGCTCCCCCAGCCAACACCCTGGGAGCCCATCCAGATGCCCCATCTGGTGACCTCGGCCATTGCTCCTGGCAACCCTCTGGTACTGTCACCTTTCCCCATGGTGCCTGTGATGACAGGAGCTGCAAGCCATGGTCCCCGCGTTCCTGAACCTTGCAAGGTCATCATCCAGGTCAGCCCTGAGGTGGGGCTTGTGGAATCAGCCCAGAACCAGCCTGTCATCCTGACACAGGCTTCACTCAACTGGGGGGGCCCAGAAGTTCCATCTGCCGTGAATGGGCATCCTGCACCCGTCTACTTGGTGTCATCTGTGCCAGAGACCGTTATGGCGACCCCAGCTACTACTGTCACCCAGGCTGGGACAGGAGACCATCCTCCTCAGGCTCCACTGCCAGTGGCCCAGGTGGTTCCCATCATCCTCCCATCCAGTGGTGGATCACTGCCCCAGTGGGTTTGTGGGGAGAGTGGTCCCGCCAACACCCGGAACCAGGCATCACCTGAAACCTCCAGCAGCCCCAGTAGCGTCTACGAGAACTTTCGACGCTGGCAGAAATTCAAGGCCCTGACCCGGAGGTACCTTCCTCAGACTCCGGACACTGAGGCTGTTTCCTGCTTCCTCATGTAAGTCCCTCGGGTGTCCTAGACCTAATGGGAGCTTCACAGGAAGGGACAGGGGTGACCCCCAGGGTAGGGTCCATGACAGCGTGACCTCAGGAATGTCACCCCGGGGTTTCGGCTAAAATCCCATAGTGACCAGTCATGCCCTAAAGCTTCAACTCAGTCTGCTCATCAGGGTTGGTCCCAACCTGTGGTCGGTAGGACAGACTTTCTGTTCCTAAGACCAGACACATCACAGATGCAACATGATTCAGACAGGCCATGACTGCTCGGCCTTGGCATCTCATGACGTATCCCCAGAGCTGAGGGATCACACCAGCATGGCCACTGAGCAGGGGTGTGGGAGGTAGAGTCAACTCTGCGCGGGGAGATCAGGCCGCCATCGGGGCTCTAGGCATGGGTGTAGGACAGCAGGGCCTCCTGGCAGATACAGACCCTGACCGAGCCTGTCCTTGCAGCCCGGTGCTGCGCACCCTGGCCCGCCTGAAGCCCACCATGAGCCTGGAGGAAGGCCTGCGCCGGGCCCTGCGGGAATGGGAGGGCACGAGCAATTTTGACCGCATGATCTACTATGACATGGCTGCCAAGTAAGTCAGTCCTGGGCAGAGAGTGGGGGTTGGGGCTGGCTGCGGGACTGGGCTTCACGGGCTGCTCCCAGATGGCCAAGGCGTCCTTGGCATCCCCGGGAGGCCCTTCCCCTGTGGAAGCTTGTCCCTCCTGGGGCCAGGACACTTCTCCCCACCCCACTCTGGCGCTCCTGACCACAGTCTGAGGGTCACAGTCCCTTATTTTCTGTGACCCTCAAAATGATGATATGGGGAATCACTGGGGGAGCTAGGGTCTATGCCCACCCATTCTCCACCCTCCTGAGGGCTTGGCGGTGTGTGTTCCCTGTCCCTGCCTCATCCAGTATGGTCCAGGCCAGCCCATCTCAATGGGGTCTGTGCTCCCCATACCAGGTTCATGGAGTTTGAGGCTGAGGAAGAGATGGAAGCGCAGAAGCTGCAGTGGATGAATGGAGTACAGGGCCTGCCAACCACTGCTCCACCCAGGCCTGAGCCTCAGGGGGCTCCAGGCCCACCGCTACGCCAGCAGCCAGTTACCGAGCCTGTTTCCCAGCTAATTTTCATAGGCCCAGGAAGGTGCTAGGGTTCCTGCCCTGCCAGGGAGCCTTCACTCTCCTGGGGACACCCAGGCCTATGCTCAGCGGCCCCCTGTTCCTGGGTTTCTCCCTCTCCCTGAACACAGCACACTGCCTGAGGGCGTCAGACTCACCTTTGAAGTGGGGTTGGAGACCCTGGGGACACGGTTGACCCCTCCTCCCTTTGAAGGCCCCCTCATCCCTCACTCATTTATGGGATTCTAGTACACACAGATGTAGACACACACCTGACCTGACCCATCCCACAGGTATCCGTCCCCATTTCTGTGCTCAGTGCTGTGTGTCTAAGGGCAATGGACGCGGGGTCCACTCACGTCCCTCTCCCCTTCTTCCTCCTCAGCCTGTGTCCCTAAGAAATCCAGACCCCGGGCTCGGGCAGCCTGCCCCAAGACGCACAAACCACAGCGGGCCCCCAAAACCAAGGCCCCCAAGGAGATCTCCCCTGAGACCGTGCAGAACATGGATATCATGGACGAGCAGCTAAAGGCCCCCGATACAGTCTGCGGGGCGCCCCTTGGCCGAAGGGCAGCGGGCAGGAAGGAGCAGCAGGAGGAGGCCGGGACCTGCCCTGAGCCGGGGCTCCTGAGCTATGTGTACGAGCTGTGTTCCCAGGAGGCCTTTGTCACCAAGGTGGGTTTTGGGTGCTGCTGTAGGGTGGGGAGGGCACAGGGTTGCTTCTGTCCAGGGCTTGGTAGTGACATATTTCTACTTGTGTTTGTGTGTATGTGTGCACATGTGTCTCCCTGTGTACAAACATTGGCCCTATTTTGAGAATTTCTGGGTTTGGTCAATGTGTGAACATCTCTGTGTGTCTCCCTCTGTGTGTACTGTGTGGGCTCTGCGCAGAAACGTGTGGATACATGTACATGTGCCTAGAGGTGGAAGAGTGTGTGTCTTTGTGTCATGTGTGTACATGACAGAGACTTTGTGCAACCGTCCAAGACCCTGTACTGTGCTGAGAACGGGTGAGTTTGCATCTTAATTCCTTCTTAGTCCATAGGAGAGCCCTCACACCCGCTTCCCCCTCCCAGGTCGAGGCAGTCATTCACCCCAGCTTCCTTGCGCACCTGCTCTCCCCAGAATCCCAGCTGGATCTCCTGGACCTGGCTGAGGAGCTCGAGGAGGAGGAAGAACTCACCCCCACACAGGTGAGGCACATAGGTCTCTGGGGTCCACGCAGGACCCAGGGGAATAATGTGAGGGTTTCCTGGAAGGCAATGGGTAGCGGCCCACGGCAAACAGGAGGCATTTTGCATGTGATTGCTGGGAAAGAGTCCCTGCAGGGGACACAGGGGACAGGTACCAGGGCACTCAGAGCCGCAGGTGCGCCATGAGTCAGGGAGGGGCGCCCAGCACTGGGGCCTAGTCACTTGGTGCCCTCCCTGCCCAGGCCATGGCCAGAGGCCTCCCTTTGAGACCTCAGGGAAGATGAGGACGTGAATATGGGGTGAGGGAAGGGTTGGCGGGGGTGAGGGCCCTTAGTGGGACAGAGATCTTGGTTTTCTACTCTGGGAGGAGTCGCGGTCACTCTCTGTCCCACCCTGCACCCCCACATACCCACACTCTCCCTCCTCCCTTCAGATTGTGGAAAAGCGTCTACGGACTGTGCTGGACAAGGAGGTCCAGAAGGCTTGTCCCCAACACCAGCTGACTCCAAAGGACTCAAATCCATCTGAGAGTGCAGGAGGTCACTGCAACCCAACCCCTACCTGGGGCCATAAGCCAGGGGCCAGCGCTGAATCCTGCCCCCCTGAGACTGACTTTGGACATGCCTCAAGGCCTGTGCAGGTTGAGGCCACTGGGATGGCACCTCGAGCCTCTGTCCTCTCTTTGGGGAGCCTGGAATCCCCATCCCTTCAGGCAGAACAGGCCCCCTGTCCGGGCCTCGCTGCCCCTACTCTGGACAACAGGGTCTCCCTCATGCTGGGAGAGGCCCCTCCTGGCCAGGGGCCACATGGGGCAGCAGAGGGCTCCAGTGAGGAGGAGGAGGAGGAGCTGCCCTGCCTGGCCTTCCTCCAGGCCTCTCAACACAGCCTTCTGCCCTGGGGCTTCCCCATGAGACCTGGCTCAGACACTGGCCCCTGCTGCCCGAGGGCCTGGGGGGCTTCTCGGCCCCAACCCACTCACAGAAGGGCCTGCAATCCTGCTGCCCCTGCTACTGCCCCTTCCAGGAAGCGGCCTCTGTGTGGGAGCGCAGGACTGGGCACTACTGAGAAGACCCCCTTCCCTGGGGAGCACCCCAGGGTGTCTGGGGGCTCAGCCTTGACTGTGGAGCTGGTGGGCCCTTCCCTGCCCCCAAAGAGAAGGTTCCAGCCTGCTCTAGCCCAGAGGAGTACAATACAGGATGGGTACAGCATCCAGTAGGAGACCAGGGGCCTCGCTCCTGAGCCTGGCTGCCCCTAACAACCTTGTCTTCCACCTGATCTTCATCCAGCTAGGACTTCTCTGTATTGTTTGGCGGGCCCAGTGGTGGGGTTTTGCTGGAGCAGCCCCTTTGTGTCATTGTGTAAATAGTTAATAAATTTCATTACATTGAAAACTCTTGGTATCTCCTGTCGCTCATGCTCCTTGGACAATCCTGAGATGAAAACAGGTAAGGGCGTTACATGGTTTGGGTCCTGTGAGACATTGTACTCCCTGGAGCAGGGATGAGTCCTCCCCACCCTTAGGGAGATGTGCTCAGTTTCAGCAGACCCACCCAATTCTGTGGACATAGGCGAGGCTCACGTTTGCTGTCTTTTCCTTGGAATGCATCAAAAAGCACATCAAAGATTGAGGGCATCACGCTGGGAAAAATCACAGCATGGGAGAGAGCAACACAAAGGAGCTTTCACAGATGTGGGAGACAGACTGTTTCCATTTCTTCCCTGAGTTCGTGGCTCACACCCAACAGTGACTGCTCTACAGAGCTCCTTGTTCTAGGACTCACTCCTGGTATAGCTCAGGGGACAACGTGGTGCTAGACATCAGTAGAACGAGGGCTGTGCACATGCAACACAAGCACCTTAATGTGTATACAATTTTCCCAATTCTCAGCATTCCATTTGTTTTAGTGTCACACAAAATGGTTCCTGGAGCTTACTCTGGCTCTTCCCAGGACGTACTCCTTTCTGGACTCAGGGGACCATATGGAGTGCCAGGAATCAAATCCAGGTTGGCCATGTTCAAAGCAACTGCCCCATCAGCTGTACTACTTCTTCAGTTCCAAAATACCTTTTAAAACAATTTCACCATATTATAAAATAGAGCTCGTATCCTCAGAAGGTGTCCATAACCTCCTCCACTCAGCAATCACACTTTCTCTTCCCATTAATCCTTGAGTCTTGAACCCCATATTCCTTTCTTTCTCTAGATTGCCACACTCTGGCTATCTAGCTTTATGTGGCCTCTTTCACTGAGAACAGCTTTTCCTGGTCCACCTACATCAGCTCATGTCCACAGTTCAAACGTTAACTACAAAATCATATTCCATGTGCAGAAGGGCTACATCTGGCAATTCCTTCAATGGTTGATGAACAATGAGCTTCTTTCTACTCCCTTGTACTAGCTAACAGCAGATGCGCAGATTTAAAGTGAGCTTCTCAAAGAATTTTATTGAGAACGCAAGCCTGGGAAAAACCCTCTCACTGCTGGCAGAGAACCCCAAATTTGGGATTGTGGGGTAGGGATTTTATGCACTGTGTAATGCACCCCAAGCACGAAGGTTCTGATAACTGTATTAGGGATGCAACGATTTTTGTTATCCAGAGAACATGTGTCCTCTCTTGGTGTTTTCTTTACACTAAGACAAACAGCAAGGTCCTTAATCTTTCCTTGTCTGTCCTGTCTCGACTTCTGGAACTGAGCATGGTGTCCTGAACCTGCAGTTTTCTTTATCCCTGATAGTTCAGGATCTATATTGCCTTTGGTGCTCTGTTACTTTCTGCCTATTTGGAGACAGTTCAAAATCACAGGTAGTTCCTGTCACGAATGGGTTTTTTTTTGGTACGCAAAATAATTTTTTAAATTTTATTTTCATAAAGTTATTCACAATAATGGATTGCATTCAATATTTCAATCCCACCACCATTACACCATCCCAACACAATTATTTCTAAGTTTACCACCACCACCACTCAAGCCTGCCTAAGAGACAGATACTTTATTTTGTATAGCTTATTATGAATAGCATGAGAAGTCACATGGCCACAAAAGTGGCAGCACGCCCTGGAATTCTACAATTTTAAATAATTAGTGTCCGAAGAAATCTCGATTCTGAGATTTATTTTTAAATCTCTGGATCATGGCCATTACTGAGCTTAAATGACACAAGGAGGAAGGCAGTTCATGAGCGTGACATAGAGGCGAGGAGATGGGAAGGAGCAGCTGTCCCTGATCCCTTGAGGACTAGAGTTAGCAGTCACTGGTCTCACATACCTGGGTTTTCCATTGGGCTCTGGATTCGTCAGGGGCAGGTGGAGGGACAACACCTGCCCCTGTCTGAGGCACCCTGGTGAAATCGGCCTGCTGCAACATCAGCAAGCTGATCTCTTCATCACTTCAGCAAGCTTCCTGGATCCGAAATTCATTTCTTGTTGGAAATGTTTTAGGGTAACCTTGAGGCTCCTCCACAGCACCAGTAGCTTCTGGTGTGAAGTGGCTCAACATGCCTCATCTTGCATTTGGTCCCTAGAAGCAAGAACAGTTACTGGGCACCACACCAGTTTTGTTCTACTCTCTCTAAAACTGTGATCACTGTGGAAGAAATGAAGTATGTCCAGACTCTATGGCACAGCTGAAACAAGGTGGTCAGACCTTTCTACTGTTCCTGCATGCTCCTTTATGGGCACACAAAGTCCAGCATCCAGACTTCAGAGCAGATCAGCTGCCCTGAAGGGGACCCAGATACAGCAGCGGGGCCTGTGCTCATTCCCATAGACTAGCCCATAACCTCCATGTTGTTCCTGTTGGCGAGCTCCTTGCCACCTGGCCCCACTTCAGCAAGCACTGGGAGTTTAAACAACACTGACCTGTCTGGAGAAAGCACTGTTCTCCACTGGGGAGCACTGAGGAAGCCCTGCAGTCACAGTCAGGGAGCTGAGGGGTCCCTGGGCTCTTAATCCGTCATGGAGCAGACCCTAGAGGGGCAGCTGGGCTGTGGAGCTGGGTTGGATGGAGGAGACTCTGAGGTGCTGATGCTGATGAAGTACCTGAAAAGTTGGATCAAGCATCTGGAAAGCCCTGGGGACCTGGCTTTTACCTGTTAGAGCAGGGATGGCAGCTTGCTGAGACCAGCTCTTCATTCCTCTGAAGTGGGAGGGGTGTGAGGGTTGAAAAGGGTCTATGTGGGGCTTGGGAGGTATTAACACAGTCAGCTCCCAAGAAAACGCACATCTCAAAATCCCTGGAGAGGGGGCCATGTTTTATGTGACCAGGATAAAGACTGAGGGGTGCATTTTCATGGGATAGGTGGAAAACAAAGGTCTCATTATCAGGCCTTGAGGATCCTGGGGCCCCAGAAGAGTCTCGCTGTTTGTGTCAAGTTCTTGCGATTGGGTTGTGTCAGACTAAAGCCATCCCAGAGCACATACAGGTACACCTGTGACCGAGCCTGGAAAACACTTGCAGGTGTTCCTTGCATTGTTCGTGCTTTGGCAGGCTTTGGTGCCCTCTTTGCCCAGGTCCTGTGCTCTCTGTATGTGCTGTCTCCAAAAGGGGCCACCTGGGATAGGCTCCGGAAATGGGAGCAGCCTCTGCAGTGGCCAAAGGCCCATATTCCACACCCCACAGTTGGAACAGCTCTGGTGAGGGTCCAAACTGCACATCCAGTTGTGGTCTAGGTAAGGGCTCAGGCACTGGATCATGGAAGGGAAAACAAAACCCACACCAGAGCTAGGTGAGAAGAGTTTCTGCAAACCTGTGTAGGCAGGATCAAGCTGTGCAGGGGCTAGGGACTTACATGAGTAGATGGTCCTCAACTCTGTGCCAGAGGAGAGCTCCTTACGAACCATTACTTGATGGGGCTGGATCAAACCCAGGTTCTAGTAGAAACTTGGTATGTGGATGACTCTAGTTATGGCCAGCCAGATGGAGGCCAGTATTAATCCAGCCTTCTACAGAGAGGATTTGCTGTGGTCCCAAGAGGAGGTAATGCGTGCCCTCTGGCGGGACATGCATTCTTGGCCTCCCTGCGAGTTGCCAGGCTGGGCTCTGCTGAGGGACCTGTGACTCAATGCTGCCCAGGACACACAGGGACTGGTTACATGTCACCCGGTGGCTGCCTGCCAGGCTGCTGCATGCTGGCTCCAGAGCTCTATGGGCGGTAAATCGGGCTTGGTTTGACCCCTCCACCCTGGAGTAGGAAGCAGTGCTATGGGCCTCAAAGGCGTTTCCAATGATCAGACCCATTGACAGGGACAGCTCAAACAAAAATACACAAATGGGACTTCATAAAATTAAAAAGCTTCTGCCTAGCTAACCACATGGTCTACAACGAAAGGACACCAGACTGAATTGGTAATAATATTCATGTGCAACACATCAGGTAAATATGAATATCCAAGATCTATAAAGTACTCAAGAGGACTCACCCCCCTCCCCCAATTCACAAACCTTATTTAAAAATTGTGAGAGGAAAGAAATAGACGCATCTTCAAAGTAGACTGATGGCCATGAAATAACACATGAAAAAGGGTTCATTATCACGTTTTGCCGGTCTTCACTGGGCTGGAGCAATAGCACAAGAGGTAGGGTGTTTGCCTTGTACGTGGCTCACCTGGGTTTGATTCCTATGTCCCTCTCAGAGAGCCCAGCAAGCGATTGAGAGTATCCCGCCATCTTGGCAGAGCCTGGCACTCTACCGTGGCATATTCGATATGCCAAAAACAGTACTAACAAGTCTCACAATGTACAAGTTACTGGTGCCCACTCAAGCAAATTGATGAACAACGGGAGGACAGTTTTACAGTGCTATCACTTACTCTCAGTGAAATCCAAATCAAGATGATAATAAAGTATCATATCACACAAAGGAGAATGACAACTCTCAGGGAAAAAAAAGTGGGCACAATCTGTGGTGTTGTTGGGATGTGGTGGAAAAGGAATCCTTACCTGCTGTTGTTGGGAATGTTGTCTGGCTTAACTCCTGTGGAAAACAGTTTGGAGGTTTCTCAGAAAAGTAAGAACAGAGCTGCCATATGATCCAGCAATGCTGCATTTTGATATTACCCCCAAGACACAAAAACATTCATTCAAACGAACAAATGCACACCATTATTCATTGCAATACTCAACACTATAGTTAGACATGGAACCCAACTTAGGTATCCAACATCGGATAAACAATTCATGAGAGTATGATATGCAAACACAGTGCAGCTATAACGGAAGGTGATGTCATACAGTTTGCCACAACCTGAATGGAACTGAGTGAGTCAGAAAGAGGACAAATGCCACAGACAAATGTAACTTCTCTGTGGTATACAGAAGAACAGGGTAAGGAATGCAAGGTAACAAATGGGATACCTATATGACCCTTGACCCCTGATTACAAAAGTAAGAAATAAAGGGAAGGAAAGAAACTGAAGGGAGTGAGAAGAAAATGATGGAGGGTAACTGCGGTAGCGGGTATGCACAGTAGTATAGAGGGGAGAGTTTTATCTGTATATTATGTCTGAATAATACAGTTAACAACAGTCTAAGCATAAGACTCAAACTACATCAGCTAAACAAAAAAATGTGCTTGTCCAGGGGTATGGTGCTGCCATGAGTCAACCTGCATCTGCGGGAAGAGTGCATCAGCAGCCAGACTTTATCAGTGTCTGGATGGGCTAACTGCCTCCACCTCCCTGTACTTTTGCAAGCCTCAGCAGTTACATCCACACTGCAAAGCTGCCACACAGTTAAAAAGCTACTCCAGCCTTACCAAGTCAATAAAAATACTGAATTCTCTGAACAAACTCCATGCCCTCTTAGCACCTGTATTGTAAACCATTATGCACAAAAGGAAAAGGAGAGAGAGAATAAGAAGAAAAGTGCCTCCCATAGAGGGAGGCTAGGGATGAGGGATGGGGCGCTGGGGGATGGTGGGAAGGAAACAGGGGACACTGGTGGTGGCAAATGTACACTGGTAGAGAGTAGTCATGTGCTGGATCATGATATGACTAAAACCCAACTATGAAGAGCTTTGTATTGGTCCATCTCATGGACATTCAATTAAAAAAAAATTTTAAAAAGTAATGTGGAGTTCATGCCAATTCAATGAGCTTAATCAATGGCTGAATAAATAGCAGTACTCCTACATTAAATATAATGGTAAAAACAAAATATACCTGTAACGGAGAAAGGCTGGGGTTGGGAGGAAGCTTTGGGAAACTGGTGGAGAGAGGTCAACACAAGGGGTGAGATTGTATTGGAACATTGTATACCTCAAAGTCAGCTATGAATAACTATGTAAGTAACAACTCCTTAATGCTTAACAAACTTTTTCTACATTTAAAAAGGAAAGAATAACTGTAACACTGAGAGGATCAAAGAACAAATATGATTTCATCATCATGGGGAATGAGCAGCTACTGCCAAATATCACCCTTAAAGTAGGGCCAGAAGGGTCCATGATTCTCTCACCATACTCAGTGGTTCATCATCTGAGGATGTCTGAGGACCACATACCTGTTTTTATGAAGGGGAGGAGGAAGAGGCACATGGAGTTGATGGAGCCCCGTGAGTGGAGCCATAGCTGTCAGCTGACCTGACTGGAGAGGTAGAGCTTCACCCCCCACCCTTAGAAAACTCCACAGAGAAAGGGTAGGTTTGGGCTAACTATCAAGACTGGACATTGTACACAGCCCCTTGGCTCTGGACACTTGGCTGTGACAGGTGTGTTCTTTCCCCCACTGCCCTCCCGTCTTCCCTGGGGATTCAGAGTCTTAGGTCAGAGGGAAACCCAGATGCTGTACTCTGACACCATAGAGAGCGGATGGGATGGGGAGAACTGTGAACTCTGTGCTCAGGTTTGCCCTCCCTGCCCAGGGCTTTGGGTGGCTAAGGAAGTTGTCTCTGGCCTGCCTTTTCCCTCCTCCAAAAAGGACCCCAAAGAAACTCAGATGTGAGGTCACAGCATCACTTGCTGCTATTGGAAGAAGGGGCGATTGAGATACCACAAGCTTGCAGGCTTCAAGAGAATGAACCTGTGAGGAAGCATTCACATTCTTCTCAGTGCATGTGGAACGTTGTCCAGTTCAAATCAATCATAGACCTCTACAAAAGTATCAAAAATCATATAAATATTTAAATGAAATTAAGCATCTTTTCCCACTACAAAGTGATGAAGGAAAAAAAATCAACCCAAAGCAAACAGTAAGAATCACACTATACAGACGCAGAACAAGATTCTTCTGAAAAACTCTGAAAAATGAGGAAATAAATGAGATATATGAATATTAACAAGAGACACAGCAAAAAGAAACTAGGGTATGAGTCAAAGAAAGTGTTGGGAATGAGGGAAGATCAAAGAAATACAGGCCTACCTTTCAAAAAAGAAAAGAACAAGTAAGAAAATCTCAAATAATCAATTTGAGCTCACATGTGAAGACTATGGAGATGGATAGATAAAAAAATTAGCAGAAGGAAATGATAAAAACGT